AGAGAAGGACAGTACTTTTTCACACCATTTATTAAACCTTCAATAATACTTATCAAGACACTACAGAGATTGGTATGATAGGACTGAGCAATCTTAAGCCTAGTAGCTTATAAGTACCATTCAAAGTTTTGGGCTGACAAGTTATATTTCTTTCCCTTTGGTGAGATAAAGGCAATAATTTTGAAAGAACAAAAAAAAAAGAGAGGCCATTTCAATTTGCTGCATGGGAAAGGTAAATGCAAAATTTTACAACTTTCAAAAGAATGCTCAAGTTTTTACTGACTCACTATGTATTTTTGCCATATAATTTATATTTCAGAATTTCAATCAATTCATTCCTTAAAGCACAAAAGTCTACATGGACACAGGGTAGTCAACGTTGGCTCTTTTATGACACGTGGACTTCAACTCCCAGAATTCCTGAGCCAGCATGGCTGGCTCAGGAATTCTGGGAGTTGAAGTCCACGAGTCATAAAAGAGCCAACGTTGACTACCCCTGAATAGCCTGAAATTCTAGAGGAACCAACCTAACCCCAGCAACTCAAAGCTTTCCCAGAAAGAGATCAGGAGTAAGAGACTATGCATTCCTGGGGACAGGAGGGGTAAGAAGTTTATGTAATCACACCCTAGAATCTCTCAGGATATATCTAGTAGGTTAGAAGATTATAACTATAATTTGGCAAGATTCTCTCCATTAGGTGCAATCAAATAAAGGGTTAAACTCCTCTGCCTAAAAACAGTGGATCTCACTGTGTAGAGCTTGGTCCTCCTGACAGTATTCCATTCTTCCTTTTTTCCCTTCATCCGTTGAACCTTGGAAGGCCTCACATTATCAAGTCCCTGTTGAGAACTTACTTCCCCTCTTCTTTGTGTGTTGAATTACTTACTCAAGGTCTTTTACAGTTTTGCCTACTTCAGAAAGGTCATTTCATTCTCAATCTTTTTATTATTTTGGAAAGTTTTTCTTTTTAAGTAAAATTACAGTACCTGGGTGAAAAAAATTGCTTGCAGAGTAGTATTAGCAAAAAAAACTCTTAAGATCAGGAACATCAATATGAACTGCAGTAAGTTTTGGGTTTTTGTTGTGGCAAAGGGATCCATATTACAAATATTTTTGTGAGCCTTTGAAATGCTTATGATCCATTTAATATTCAATTCCTGAATGACTCTCTTCCCCAATTCTCCATGTTATAGTTTCCTTACTGGTGTTCTGCTTTGATGGACCAATTTAACTTTTTGTCTATTCATGTTTCCTTGTTCAAGAAACTGGATTTTATTTTGTCCTGATGATTGACAGAAGGGTTCACAGAACTACTATATGTCTGAAGGAAGACAACTCAGAATTGACTTTAATGGAACTTTAAACAAATTCACCTCTTTACAGCCAGACATATTACATCCCTTGTTTCGAAGGTGCAGACATGATTACAAGTTAATCTTTGGAAAGACCTAGAGATAAGATGAAGTGTCACAAAACTGCAGAAGAGTGAACATATTTCCAATATTCCAAAAAAGAGAAAAGGAAAAACATAAGAAATTATGGACCAGTTTTAAAAGAGATTACAAAGAACATGTCTGTAGGCAGTTAGAAAAGACTGCAACCATTACAGGAGCCAGCATGAATCTGTCAAGAAGCTATGCCAGAACAATGGTATCTGTGTTTATTACAGAATAAATATTTAGATAGACTAAGAGAAAGTTGTAAATATAAAATACCTGGATCTCAATAAAATTACTATGTTTTTCATAGTATCCTTGTGGACAACACAGATAAAAGTGGGCTAGCTAGAGGATAGTGTGATCCACTGGATTTTCAACTGCTTGAATAATCATGCTCATATATAAATGGCTCTACATTGATGAGGATGAAGTACTGGCTGGGCTCCCCAGTTCTCTGTCCTTATTCCTGTGCTATTTAACATTTTTCCCAGCAAAGTGTCATGGCTATATATGAATGTATATGTTGAGATAACTGGGAATACTGAAATGGCTTTGCACATAAGGAGTCAGGTGGAACTATTGAAGCTGTCTGCCTGAATCCAGAAAAACATGTAGCTGCTTTAACAGTTTGAAAAGTTATTCATAGTATGGAAGGGCACTATGCAATGCAGCAGCTAAAAAGATCAATGCAATTTTGTGCTTTATTAACAGAAGCAGAACATCCAGCTCATGGGAGATAACAGCCGCACTGTACTCAGTTACAATACATTTGTATCTAGTTCTAACTACCAGACTGAAAGTGACACGGGAAAGCTAGAGCAGGTTCAGAAGAGAGCCACCAGGATAAATAAGGGACATAGAAATCAATCCCTTTGAGAAGTGATTAAAAGAGCTGAGCCTGCAGAACCTGCATATTAGAAGACTGAGGCAAAATACAATAGCAATCTACAAATATCTAAACTGTTTTCATGTACAAAAGGAGGCTGGTTTCTTGTTGAAACTGAAGATATACAAAGCTCCAAGAGTCTGAAATTAAAAAGTTTAAAATTAAATTAAAAATTAAAAGGACAAGATTAAAGCTGAATATTAGGAGGAATTCTCTGATGATAGAAGCTGCTTTTTTTAGACCAGCAATAGAGTCGTTCTCAGTGGAGGTTTTCAAGTGGGCTGGATGACTACTAGAGATGGTTTAGTAAATTCCTTAACTAAAGATGACTAGCTGACTTTCGAAGTTCCTTCCAATTCATTTCTATGATTTGATCATGGCAGACTGTTCTAGTACATATAATAGTTTCTACAGCTAACCCAATGGCTCACAATTTTAGCCATTTTCTGGAATTCATGTACTGTATGTGCCAGTGTAGAGAATCAGAGATCATCTTGGAAAAACTAATCAAGGCTGTTAGAAAAAAATAATTTAAATTCAGGAGGAGAAGAAAATAATAGAAACTCAAATCAGCTTTCCCTTAAATTTCTTGACTTTAAGAAGGTGGGAGTTATGTTTTCAAGATTTCTTTTCATCCAGACCAGGCATGTCAAACTGCAGGCGCGTGGGCCAGATGCGTCATGCCGAAACCGTGCCCACCCCATTGCCGGCAATGGGGAAAAAGTCATAATACGTTGCGCGATGTCGCAGGTTTGACATGCTTGATCTAGATTGTGATGTTTCTCTGTGTCATATAGGTGTGTGTATGTGTATATATGCATAATGGTATTTTTTTGACAGCTGAATGCAATGCAATTTCATTTTAATGTATGCTGATTAGTGTACATTTAAAGTGACAATAAAGATTCTATTCTATTCTATTCTATTCTATTCTTGTATTGATAAAGAAAAGTTCCAGTCATTCTTATGGTGTCTTGTTTTCTGACCTGACCATCTTTAAGAGTTTATAGCCAAAGGTCTGCATCAAATTGTTTCAGAGGAAAGTTCATTATTTAAAGGATTTTGGCATCCAGCTGTAATCATCCAGTTGTGGTCTATAATGAACAAATGTAAACATCACTGTAACTCCAGCATGATTATAACTGGATTTGAAGAGGGCAATGATCTGCTATTTTTCCTGATAGGGAAATAGACATTAAGTCATCAAGATGATGGCTCTTCGCAAAACAAGGTATCAGGTTCTATAGATACAAAATATATTCATTGAATTGGAGGAAATTAGTCTAAGAATCTTGTCCTAGTTGTCCTGTTTGAGCAAAACTCTAAACCAAAAAGTGTCCAGAATTATTTCCAAGGGATCCACTTGTTGTTTCAATGTTTATATAATGAACTGGATACTATCATGGTTATTCAGAAAAAGTTTTGATCAGTATATTAATCAAATATGGATTATGAAAATTCCCTGCAATAATAGATAAGCCCCCAAACAGTACCTAATGACCTGATATCAAGCCAAACTATGTGCCCATATATTGCTTCTTTACTGATGAGAGTTTCATAGTCTGAAAAAACTGAAGGCTTTTGTTTCCTGAGTTTCTTGGATACCAAATGAATCCCAAAGCATCACATATACCTAATGTTCCTTATCTTCCACTTGGGTTATTTGGTTCAAATAAAAATATGGAAAAGTTCTATTTAATGGGATCAAAACACGCATTTGAAAGAACCTTAGCCACTATCACTCTAAGCTGTGCCCCGTTAGGCTTCACATCAAAACCACTCTCCACCTCCTCCTAGGACCCAAACTTTTCCAACTCTCTGCACCAATCATCCCTGAAGTGAAAGACTGAGCAGGTGTGTCCAATCTCCTGCACACATTTTTTGCCCTTTTGGTGAAGGAGGGAAGACAAATGAAATGATATGAGGCATTTGGCTTGCTACCTGGTTTCCAGAGGCCCATGCCAGATTCTGAATCGCTATCAGTTATTAGGGGATGCAAACAGGAATATATTAACTGAAAAACTCTCAATGATGTTAAGAGCCTTTTGACTGTTAACTAGAGACTGTATATATGTCAATATACAAACAATAAAAAGTGAAACTTATACTATTACATTGTCATCTAATGTGATTCATATACAAATTTGTACTGAGAATTTTGCCAGTTTTTTTCCCTTCCACATATCACATACATATTTTTCTTCAATATCCACTTACCAGTTTTGAGGAAATCTTGTAATCTTGAATGCAGCTATGTTTATGCACTCATCAATCTACATGCATTAAATGTATCAGTAGGTTTAAACTTGAATGAATCTAAAAATGCTGTTATTAAAGAGATTGAGATATATCATGTTTTTCAACACATGGATTCCAAAAATAGATGAATTTTTCAATCCTGGTATAGAAACAAATGAAAAAGGATACAAGCTCTGATAGAGAGTTATAAGAGATTTCACGGCTCTGCTGGCATTGATACATGTGGCCCGTACAAGATTTGGCAACAGTTTTGCAGTCACAATTGCTCCGTTAAACAAAGGACCAAAAAATGGGACCTGTCAATAAACAAATAACATGAATATAAACCATGAAAGAAGTGAAAGAAATTCCTGTGGCAGAATTCATATTATATTGGAGTTTTTAGCAGCAAAAGTATAACATCTATGTGCACACATACTACTTAAAAGATTAATTTCCATATTTTTGGTGGAAATCTTTGCTACACTTGACTGCTATTACATAAATCAACCAATATTTATAGCATTTGTACTGGTTTTAAAACAAAATCATCATCTCAGAAACAACAAATATAATTACATATTATGGTAACTACATAGCCCATTAAATATGAAAATATGAATTCTGAATTTAGATACAAGTACATCCCTTAATAATCATTGTCAACTTTGACAAATCAACATGCATGCTAGTTCAATGAGAAAAATGTAAAAATGATAGGAAAGTCTGCTGCCAATGTGCGATCAATCTTTATTTGGGGGGGGGGGGTTCATTCATAATATGTGAAAATAACTTTTTGGATGGGATTGATAATGAGTTTAATGGGCTAGGATATTTAGTGATTCCAAATGTAGTGCTTCTAGCAGCCAATAAAATGTAGAAATATTTGAATTTTCTTCAACATACAGTATTCTTTCTGTTTACATGTGTGTGTGCTTATATGAAAAGCAGAACACTAAACCTGTGGTGACAAACCATCTGAGGATTACAAACAGAGGATAGGGGTATCAAAACTGCCCTCCAAGTTCTAGGAATGAAGTTACAGATATTAAAATAACTATGAGATTTCAGTTTGAAAAACCATCAAATAAAATGTACCATGTTTAATAAAACTATACTGTAGTCCATTAAACATATATGGAAAGTATGAGCATTACAACATATATGGTTTCGTATGAGAGTGTCCCATAGATTTTCAAAATTCTTGTGATTGTAAAGCAATATTATCTTTATTTACATTTTTGCTTATTTTGTAATTATTGAGTAAAATGAAGTAGTGCTATGATTCAATTAAATAAAGTCAAGTTTAAACAAACCATTTTAGTTCAGAGCCCTATCTTCCATAGTAAGCCACATAGTTTGAAAGCTTGTGAATGAGAAAATTATTGTACCAAATGGCTGAGCATTAATCTCTGCTGACTAGGTTCAATATAACGAGGCATCTGTGTCTCAGGGACCTCTCAGTGTGTCCCTGGCGGTATGCACACTGTATGAGTCTGTGTGGCATTCTTTGTCTGCTTTTACAGGCAGCTTTTTGCTTCATTGTTTAGAATATCTTAATGCATCAGTGATGGGTGGTATGCATTCATACTAAAAGACTTACTATTGTTTTTTCTCAGAGGCTTTGTTGAACAAAAGACTGAATCATAGTTCCCAATAATTATATTGGTTAATTAAACAGACAAAAAAGTTTGTCAATCACTGCATGGTTACCAGGCAGGAAGATAAAAATGAAAACAATAAAGCTGTAGCAATAACAAAAGTAACAGCTATCGCATTAGAGGTTCTTATATCACGAAGCTATTAATACAAAATTGGTAAATGTTAACATTACTCCAGGTGTCTCTACTTGGATGCAAACAAAAAGGCTAACATTATGAATGTAAAAGGCCAAACGTTACCATGGATCCTGAAACCTGAAAAAGAAGTGACAGCTTTTTCATTTGATTAGAGAACTCAATTTAAATACCAAGAATTGCAACCAACCAGCCATTTATCTCTACAAGACACTTTCATTCATCCCATGGTCAGTAGCTGATTGACCAAAGGTTGGTCGCATTTGCCCCTGAAATGTGTTGAATAGTTGATTGTATATTATAATTATATTTTTAATAGACAGTAAATTCCACTTCGGTCTTATTCTTTCCACGGGATTTTTTAATGCATAACTTAAACAGACAAACTTCTTCTATCATTTGTTTGCAAAGATATTTTAGACTACACTTAATCGTTGTTTGAAGAAAGTTGTCTACAAACTGAATAACAGCAACCACCTTTAACAGAAGCATTAAAAAAGACATGGCACCAGAGAGGGAGATTCTAATATTGAAATATTTTCTTCCAACTGGTCCCTTCCAAGAGTGAGAAATCCCAATGTTGGAATATTAATACTGAAGGGTCCTTGGTGTTCTCGGAGTTTGGTTGTTTTCTTGCAGACATTTCATTACCCAAACTAGGTAACATCATCAGCGGGTTCTGAAATAGTCTACAAGAGAACAATCAAGCTCCGGGAGCACTTAGGACCCCTCATTTCAATCTCAGCTGCAAATATTCCGCTTTATTGATATTGATAAAATATTGGGATGAGATGGGAAAGAAGAAATTATTTTCTGGAAATCTATAATATCTCTCACAACCCTATTCAAGTAGCCTTCATTTAGTGACTGCCTTATACAGCAGCCATTTGCAGTTATAAATGTGATGAAAAAATAACTTACAAACAGTCCTAGCACTGACAACAAAGGAAAACTGAAGGAAGATCGCAAACCCAGTTGTGGTTCACTTAGCCAGCCAATTTCTTAATGACCAAGTTGCCAGTCCCAAATATGGTCGATAAATGAGGACTATTTGAATCAAATTACTGATTTATAGAGAGATAAGCTCCAATAAAAGAGAATAAATATGCTCTGGCAAGGCAAGCTACTATGTATAAGGAGCAAAACCTACAACAACTTGCACTGATGATTTACCTGATTGAGTAATGGATGTCTACAAGCAAACAACCAAACTCAGAAAGCACCTAGGTAAGCTGTTAAGCTAATTGAAATACTCCTGAATCCTCTTCGCAAAGAGGTCGTCAACAAAACTTTCAGCAGGTTAAAATTGACATTTGACTCTTCTGCTCAAAAGCAGTGTTCTCTCTCTTCTCTTTTTCAGTGCTTTACTTCTTAATTTTTTTAATCAAGTTATACATTTGAATTTTAAACCCACTGCTTGAAAACAAGGCAAGAAGTTCAGGTTTTTTTAAAAAAACCTTTGTGACAAATTGATAAACTTTAATATTAATAACCTTAAAGTGTTATATAAATACATTTCAATGAAAGAGATTTCATTACTGAATGCATCTGATTTCAACAAACTTCAAAATGTAAATTTATATGTCAGATATTACTTCTCTTTCATTCTGATGCAAATTTCTAACTGCAAAGGTCTTTTAATTCTCTACACGTCATCTGCTTCTGAATCTGAACTCCTTTTCTTTCTTTTTCCCTCTGGGTGCTTCAGTGCCTCAGGGTAACAGCAAGAACTATCCCAGAAGGCTGACTCAGTGTGCCATTCTGACATCATCTTAAAGTGCATTTATTAAGCAGCTGAACAATTTCCCCACACCAAACAGTGCCACAGGGTGACATTAATAAACACACATTGAAAAATCTGTGTAAACTGTGAAAAATTACAGCAGCTGAACAGGTGAAAATTAGATTCATCTTTTTCCCTACTGGATACGATTGAAGGCACTAGAGAGTAAAGTAAGAGAAGGTAAAATAAGAGCACATGACTATTCAAAAAATGCAATGGATGGTTATGCGTCATTTGATATGAATTCTCATATCAGATCTTTCTAATGGAACATGAGCAGGCATTTTGAGATTATGTAACCATGTATCATCCAATCAAAAATAAAACTAAGTAAAAGTGCAAGTTTTTTTTTCTGAATCTTACCCTCAAACTATAGAATGTTCTTCATTTGTTATTCTTTTTTATAGAAAGTTAAGATTAAAATTGAATACGGAATTAAAAGAAAAATACAAAAGCAAAGGCAACTCTCTCCCCAAAAGGAAAAAAAAAGAAATTAAAAAATTAAAAAAAATACTTTGAATTTATTTTTGGGATTCATTATAGGGTTCAAAGGGCTTTCCCCCCAAAAAAACCTTTTGATCATAATCTATGATTAACTGGGCACAACCATTAAAGATGGTATGCTATGTAAATGTGCCTACTGCCAACACATTGTAGAAAGGTTCAATTTAATGCATTTTAATGCCACATTTGGATTGTTTTCCTAGATTTTGATGATTTAATGAATCAATAAAAAAACCAACACTTTGCCACAGAGTTCCAATGAGATACATTGAGTTTAAATTTCATGTTGTTTTTTCAAGATTTCCAAAAGAACCTGTCATGATTGATATAAGAATTTTATGTAATACTGAAAAGTTTCTCTTAATTTTAAATTATACACATCTAGTTGTGTATAATTCTTCAAAAGATATTAATGGTTGTAAGTGATGAGTTTTAGCAAGCTTACAAAGGAATAATAGAACTTGACTCATCTGAAATAAAGCTGAAACATGACTAATCTTTTTGCAGAACAGATTTAACAATATGAATTTTCATAAATAATTAAACATTTAACTATATTTAATTCAGTTCTTTGTATTAAATATATTTGCATTTGTAAGATAATTATTAAGAAACAGGGATAGAAATCAGGAGAGCCTTTATTTTTCAACTGTCAAAATTTTTAACTATCAATTTGAAATGATAGGGAATTTCCTTGTCTAAAAGCAGTAGTTTTTTATTACTAAAAGGTTGGTGAATATTTTTATTTCATCAGATCATTGAGGATTTAAAGATCCCATGGATGCCAGAGTTTTTTTTATTGTTTATTTCAATTTATTTTTATACATTAAATGCATGTATTTATGTATATATACAATATATATATATATATTGTATTTAAACTGCTGGACTTCAAATGACATACAGCAGTACTGAAGAACAATAGAAGGAAGATAAAATTATAATATAAAATGCAGGTAGCATAAATAAGCAATAAATGGTGTAATTCTTATTCTCCATACTGCTTGAACAGTTCAGTCTTAAAACTTCCAGAAAGTCAGTAATGAGGGCACCATTCTAACTTCAGGGGGGAGGCCATCTCATAGCATAGGGCCACAACTGAGAAACATTGATGTCTCCTCCCTCCCTTTACTTATTTCATGGATTGGGGGGCAGGTCATAAATGATTTTGAAGAGATACATACATTTTGGATGGATTAAACGGGCTGCTTACTTATAGAGAATGCAGCCTGTAAGCACCTAAGTGTCAGGGGAGGAAGGTAACTGGATAGACAGATTTTTAATTCTCCCTGCCAGATTCCCACAAGGAAACTCAATGGAGAAGCCAGTAGCAAGTCAGAATTTGTTCCCTCTTCTCCTGCTTTTCTGTCTGCCCTTGTCATTCTGTTTCTCTGTTTAAATAAGGAAATATTTCTGAAACAATGACCCAACAGGGCATGGATTGTCTAGTTTTTTTTAAATAACAAATCAAAGATACTTCACATCTCTTCTTAAACCAGCCCAGGGTTTTGATTGCTGTGTTTTCTGTGGAAGATATGATGCCAGAAACTTTACTCTTAAGCTCCCATTTCTGCTATTCTTAACTACAGGAGGCCTAGCTAGACAGCCCAATGTCCATTTTCATCAACTATATCTGGTCCTCTACAGCCACAGTAATGAAGCATCCTTTCACCTCATCATCAGTGAGAATATTATCAGTACTATCTTAGACACTTGGCCCTGAAGCCACTTAGAATTTTCGCTGGCTTTTTTGTTCCAACAGTTGGGGTTTCGTCAAGTTAAATCACATCTCCATTATATGCTTTGCATTTTAATTTCTTAATTTGACTTCACTTTCCAGACCATCTTCAACATATATTGATTAGATGTCATCAAGTCAATGTCAACCACATAAATAGATAATACTTTAAAATTTAAATTCATTTTGGAAATATTTCTAAGCATTTATGATTTTAAAAAAACCCTACAGCTTTAACTCTGAGGAAATAATGATAGGGGAGGCAGATGTGCCCTCTATCTACCCCAGAAGCTCTAATAGAAGAAAAAACTATTTAACTTTACACAACTGTGGCCTAAGAAATTAGAACTTTCTCAACCCTGGAAGCTCCAACAGAACCGTCATTTCTCTATGCTGGCATTTGCAATTACTGAAACAGCCTATATCTTTCTCCTGGGTAGCACACCATAGCAGATTTAATCACACAAGCTGCAGTTGCTTTAGATTTTGTTTATTAGACTGGTCTAACCTTTGCAGGGAGCTATCCAGGGTGCTGTCTGATAATCTTAACTTTGCTTTATTGTTATTAGTTCTGTGCTTTATTTTTGGTTTTTAAAGATGACTTTACATCTCTTCCAGCATATTATCAGGACAGTTTTCAACAAAATATCAAAAGCATGATAAATAGGAATAATGCATACTAAATTAAAAATAGAGAAACTGTACAAAGAGAAAAATGTATCAAAGACAAAAACTAGCAATGCATAACCCATCAACAAAACAGCCTGTGGAAATAAGATATTTACTTGTGGCTTGAAAGTTATCAGAATGAACAGAAGGAATGTTCCACATGTAGGTTTCATCTCTTGGTGGGAGAACATGGGGAAAAACATGCTGATGATAATTTAAAAGTACAGGCGACTAAAAATAGAAGCTAATAATTCCTCAGATACTGTATGTGGTCCCAGCTATACAAAAATTAGAAGACCAGGACAAAATTTTTTTCAATGAAGTAAGGAAAAAGAGCAAGAGCAATTCACAAAAATTCATTATTGGTTCAAGTACCCCAATTCCAATTAGAATATAGAAATTTGCTAAAGAGGTCTGAGGTTTTTATCTCAGAAAAATGGTCTAGAGAGTATATTCTGCGTTCACTATCTGAAGGGTGGCTCACAACAAGCAGTGGGAAATGTCTTGCTATGAAGGAGGATTCCTGAGAAAGAGGGTATAAGGCAACCCCAAATATCTTATTCTGAAGGATTGTTTCTTTTCTGCGGAATTATAAAGTGGCATGTCAATTACAGGAGCTGAAAACCAACACAGCTAGAAGGCAATATTTGATTTAGTTATAGTACTTACAACAGTAGTAAGAATGTTTTCAAGAAATACAGTATAAAGGCAATGGAAAAAATACCATGCATGAATACTAGCATAAATGTAACAAAATACCCTGAAATTATATCAATGTTAGTTTCAAGTACAGAAAGAATTCAATATCATTTCAAACTCAATTCAACATCAAACCTAACTTTTCCACTTTTGATTTTTATCTGATTTTACTTTTGTAGTTGTTTTGGATCCATCTTGGTGGTGGTGGTAGTGGGAAAGCAGTTATTATTTTAAATATCATTTAAATATTTAATATTATTAAATGTTATTATATTAATTTAAAATTTAAATGTTGAACTTATTTTTTTGTACATTTTGAAGTCATATTTGCACATTCAAGGAATTTTATTTTATTTTCTCTTATTTTTCTACAGTTCCTGAATGTCCTTCTAATAAATGAATGAATGAATGTGTGTGTGTATGTATGTATGTATAACACATATACTTTTTTCTGCTAAGTTACTAAAGAGGTACAAGTTACACATCTGTGAGTAATTAAATCAATTAACCTCCAATATAAGTCAGACTACTTAACATTACATTTTTCATTTCATTAAGGAAAAAAACATTTTTTAAAAATCAGTTTTCTTTAGCATTATGAATGATTCTACTATTATAAGAACCTGACCGTGTTGTATTGAACTTCAGGACCTACCTGTTGTTTCTTCATAATCTCGATGTAAAACATACGATTCCTCATTGGATAAATAATAATTAAAACATCACCAAAATCTGTTGGTATAATGCCCCTGCGATAGTTTCTGCTATGTTCAGACCAGATAACATGAACTTCATCATTTCCCAAGTGACGAAGCTGTAACGGCAAATGGATTTGCTATTAATCAGAATGACAGAAGAGGAACTAGGCTATAGGAATGAAATTACAATGCCAACAGTATATCTCAGGGGGTGTCAAACTGCCGGCCCGCGGACCGGATGCATCATAGTGAAACCGCGCCCACCCCATTGCCGGCAATGGCAAACAAATCGCGATATGTCGCAACATGCCACGTGACGATGTGAGTTTGACACCCCTGGTATATCTGCTTCATGAGAGAAAATTATATAAAAATATTTTCTCTGTGTTAAATAACTTCTTTCTTTCAAACATTATGGGACCTTACATGGTTTATTACCTTGTGATAAATGAGTAATAATATAATGACTAGAAAATCAACAAAATGGAAGGAATCAACAAGAGAAAATTCACAGTAGATATGCTTTGTATCCACTGCAATTCAGTAATTTTCATTCAATTTTTAATAACTATATTCAGTTAATTTAAGATGAAATTAACAATTTGAATATTACAGAAACAGTTTACAATTTCAAAAGCTGTAGCAAAACCTGTGTTCTGTAAGACTTAGGTTAAAATTAAAATTGTGTTCTTTCTGAAAATAAATTACTTATTTATTTATTTATAAAAGCAGCTGCAATACGATTTTCACTTACTTAAAATTAGTCTTACTAAACACAATGGGAGTAATCATATATAGCCTGACATAACAGCAAGTAAAAAAAAAACTACAATCAATATTCAATTATTAACTAATTACGCCTCAGTTATATCCACATCTACAAAACCATTTTGCGAGATATTAAAAGGCATAATTATAGCACACATTAAATCTCAGTTACATTACTGCCGTAATTTTAACAGTAGAAATCAAAAGTCACAAAGAAAGCTAATAGAAAAAACAGAATTTGTTAGTCCAACATTGCCAAACAGTATACAAGACAATTTCTTACTTCTAAGTTTTTCTATGTGTATAAAAATTTCAGTGCTTATTACTCTGTAAGTATGTAAAGTTAGTTGGAATTCTCAACTTAGAACCACTATTGGGACTGGAATATCAGTCATTCAGCAAAGTAGTCACTAAGCACCCCCCCGTGACTGTTTCACTCAACGATTGCAATCCTGGCTCTCCTGGTTGCAGCCACCAAACAATCTACTAGGTCATCTCCTGGACCGGAGCAAAAGAACTGCATGCCAAGGAGTTCAGCTCTCCTCTGTGCATGGAAAGGAACTGCTCTGATGGGCTGCAGGAATGGTGCTGGGATCTTTGGGATCTGGCTTCCATTTCTGCAGCCTTACAGAGGAGTTACCCCCCTCCCCCAATGTGTGGAAGAGAACGGTTCTGGCAGGCTGCAGGAATGGAGCTCTTTCCTGCAACTTTGTTTCTGCTGCCCTTTGGAGGAGTTCACGGGTGGACAACTCCTTTGAAGGCCTGAGGAACAGAGCTCAGCTCTCTGAGACCTGAGTTCCGTTTCTGTAGTCTTTCACTCTCAAACGGCTGCCTGCCAGGGCGGAATCTTACTTTCATGGCAGGTGGCAGCAGCTTGCAACTTTTCCTGTTCTTTTCCCCACAAACTTTCTGGGAAAGCTGGGAGAGAAGACTGAAAAAGGTGATCACATGATCACGTGGACACTTGGAAACTGGTTGTGAGAAAAGATTATCAAGCACCCAGATCATGATCATATGATCACTCTATGATGAGTGAAAACGCATTATGGGCCGTCAAGCACCTTTTACAAGGCCATTGTAACTTCAAATGGTTGTCATAAGTCAAGGATTACCTGTATTAAAAATGGCCCAAGCTGTTAATATTTAAGAAAGCAACAAATGCTTATACTGGGGAAAAAAACTAACTTAAAATACTGTTTGTTTATAATAGGTTACAGATTATATATAAACATTTTCTGTGTGTGCATTAAAATACCAAGGGTTTAAAAAGCAAGTCTCAATTTTTGATAATAGGTATTGAGTTCTAAAATGCAGAAATTAAAATTAGAAACGGGATCCATATTTTAAATGATCCCAAATAGAAGGACATCTTCAAAGGACAAAAGTTAGTAAAGACTCTAACTTAAATTTTGCTATCAACCCTGTCCAGTATTATTACATTTCTTGAATGTATTTGTGTAAGAAGATACCCTGTAGTTTTTGAACATTTGCTATTTTTTCAAGCCTTTTAACAAGAATTGCATGTTTGGGCATGCAAGTCTATGTGTCATTCTGCAACTACTGCTTAATAAATAGTGATAAAGGATCCTTAGCTATTCTCCTTGTCTGCCAGGCTTACACACTAATGCTGACTGTGGTCATGGTATAGACACCTAATAGTCTGACCTCTTTTCCCTACTAATTGTATTATGGAGCCAGCTGGCTTCAGAAAGGAGCTGTCTGCATGACTGAAGAACTTCTGCTAGGGTTAGGCATGGGTGCTACTTTTACTGAGTAATAGCCCGTCCTGACATCCCCATTGTTTTCCTGACAGAGTGCCCATCCTAAAATCGAAGTTTTATTTGTAAATTAACCAAGAAACTTCCTGCCAGAACAGTGCTGCCTGGAGACTGATAATGTGTGCCTTTCATTCCCTTTCACTCTTACTGTATTCACTGCCAATTTGTTTTCTGCTGCCAGCCAGCCTTAGGCTATAAAAAGCCTTGTAAGACATAAGTGCAATTATAGTCCTGGAGTCAAATGAATTGAACAAATCCAATAGCGCAGCTCTGTCTCCACTTTGGAAACCCCTACAGCAGTTAGATTAGCTGCTAAAAATCTAATCTAGCTATAACTAATGAATTTCTTGAGTAAAGGAGCAAAAGTTCATTGGGGGGGTGGTAGCTGTGTTTCTCAACTGAGCGGCTTTCTGCCACTAATTGATTTTTTAAATAAAAAAGCTACAAATAATTTTGACAAGGAGCTGTTAGTTAGCTGCAGTGCATGCATCTCCATTATGGTTACAAGATGACTGGATTGAAAACAAAAATGAAAAACTATACAAATCCTTGAGACCAAAAAATACCATCAAATGGTTATTTCACAAATCTGTCAGCAATTGCAATTACTTTACTGTTTTTTTCACTGGACTATAAAGAAAATAGAAAACAGAGTTATCCTGCTGGCTAGTATTAAGAAAACATGTCTTTAATTATTTTATTTAAAATCAACTATTAATATTCCTCAATAGTTGTCAAATTTATGATACTTATTTTAGATGTCGTGTGCAGGTGCAACCATTTTACACACAAAAAAGACTCTCTTATTAAATATTTCTATGACATCTGCCCTACACTGTGGGTCAAAAATTATACTGCCTGCCACAGAATGGTCATATTTATAGGCAGTTTTTCTGGGCAGCAGGTGGTATGACCTTCTGTCATGCTATTGAGTTTGTCAGCTAAGCAAGTTATTCAGCTTTCTCCTTACAATGCTTGGAAATTGGCAAATTAAAAGCAAGGGGGAATGATAATAGCAGGAATACAAGTATCACCTAAATAGCTGAAGAGGCAAAATACATTGTTAAATAGAGAAGCAATTTTAAAATGTCTATTTTTTCTAACAAGAGATTTAAACATACAAATTTATATAAAACCTAATCTACAATATAAATATTAAAAGTGTCTGCCTCTATAGATAAGACTACTAAAAGATGTTATAGAAGAGGAACAACTTCTACCATACAATATCAAGACTGATTTCCAAGTGGATTTAAAAATGATAAGGTCACAAGAATGACATGGAAAAAGATGTTACATTGGACATACAAAACAAGCCAGATGATGTCTTAATAATTAAAAGGGATATGCAAATAACAAAGCAAGTGAGTGATTGTAATTGTAATCTTGAATAAAATTACTTCACAAAACCCCCAAACAAAATAAACAATCATGCTGCTAACAGGAGGCAACAGGCACTTCTGAAAAGATAATATGGATTATATTATTTGATATTTAGGTTTATATTTTACCTTTTTGGTCAGTGAGTCATCTGAGTCAAACGGCATTCGTGTAGATACATGAAAAATTACTTCAATAGTTGAAGTAGCATAATATGGGGCTGTTTGTCCTGTGCTACCGTTACGTTGCAGGCCACCCATAAACCCGCAGTGAGTTGAAAGATCAACCTTAATCAAGCAAAAAATAAAGATATTAATCTGCAATTCTAAACAAAGATAAAGGAAATATCCTCTGAATTTACTGGAACATTTTTACTAAACAAACTTAAAATTAATGTTTTGTTTTGGTTATTTTAGCTTATAAGTCATTCTAATTGAAGTTCACTCTGGTGGCATATATCTGTCTTCATTAGCTGGTATAAAACAAGACCCACCAATAAAATAACAGCAATCACAAACCTTAAAGTAACATTAAAGCAAAACACATAGCACTAGGCACCTAAATCAGTTTGTTTTATAAGTATTCCTACAAAGAGCACTTCAAATTAGATATCAAATATATCACAGATATCATACGTCATATTATCACAGATGATACACCATTCAGATGTATTAGAAAAGTAAATGGTTTCAGTGACAACTAAATAATGAGATCTTAAGTCAGGGACTTAACTAATGGGTTGAAGAGTATCCAGAAGGGTGCATACAGTTCTCCTTATAAACATTTTATGTTAGATTTTCTGAATTAGGGTAACTAAATGGTCAGAACCAAAATTCTTGCAGTATTATTTGGTAACACAATAGACATTATTTTGAGGTTTATGGATGTTCCGAGTTAAAAAAAATGATAGGATTAGCTTTCCTAAGTGATGGTACATGTCTGCTGGGAACATGCAATACGTAAGAGTTGCAGTCAGGCTCAGTAACAAAAGAAATGCTGAATTAAATTGGACAGTTAATCTAAAATGTGGAGAAATTACTATCACCAGCTCAAATATTCCACTACCACAATTAATATTATTAATTGAAACAAGACATTTGGGTAATATTTACCTCCCAACCCAATCCGGCAATAAAATCTTCATATGCTTGGCTTCCTTGAGGATTGGACAATATTGAACATTTATCTTCTTGTCCTTCAGCAATGTAAACAACTGCAATCTTGTGAGTGTCACGGCTACAAAAACAAACAAAAAAATATTGTGTTACCTTTATACATTTCTATTCTGAAGAGTTACTAAAATAGATTTAAACAGAAATAATGAAGAATGTGTAATTAAAAATATACACTATATACAAAAAAGGAATGTGTAAAATACAAATGGGGGCAAATTTTAGAGACAGGAAGAACCATCAAGAGTAATTAAATTTTTTTGATGGCTGTCCTTTGCTACTTGCACTGTTGTTGTTTTTTTTTTAAGTGCCTCTGAATCAGTGTTGACTCCTGACAATTGCATGAACAAGTCCCTGCAGTTTTCTTGGCAAAGGTTTTGCCATTGCTCGCTTCCTAGAACTGAGAGAGAGTGACTGGTCCAGCATCACCTAGATCAGTGGTTCTCAACCTTTTTAATGCCGCGACCCCAACCGGTCGTAAGTCGAGGACTAAACCGGTCGTAAGTCGAGGACTAAACCGGTCGTAAGTCGAGAACTAAACCGGTCGTAAGTCAAGGACTACCCAACCGGTCGTAAGTCAAGGACTTTCCCTGCCCGGGAGCGCCACGCATGCGTGGTTCCGCCCCCTGCGCCGGCCGAGGCGTAGCTGGCAAGCGGCAGAGATGGAGCAGGCCGATCACCAGCTGGCCCAGCCCAAGGGAGGTAAGGCACCCGCCGGAAAAGGGGAAAAAATGGCGGACAAAAAAAATGGCGGACAGCCTTGCTTGGCAACCCCCATGAAATGGTCGATCGACCCCAAATGGGGTCCCGACCCACAGGTTGAGAACCACTGACCTAGATGGCTTTATTCCTAAGGTGGGACTAGAACTCATGGTCTCCTGGTTTCTACTCTGATGCTCTTTCCCACCAAGAAGTCAAATATTGCTCTCAAACTGCCACCTCTTTCCAGGAACATTTGGGAACAATATCCAAGGCATTGTCATAGAAAATAATAGCTGGTGGGAAGGGATTCATGATGGTCACCACAGTAAAACAAAATGTCAATTCATACAAGGTTTTGAACATAATTCTCTTCTTTAAATCCAGTCCTCTTTTAGTTCTCATGCTAATATTTTCATTTCAAGTTGTAAAGGTGGAAATATATGGTTCGCTGGAATTTTCAGTTAAAGTTTAGTCTAATGTATTATGATTTGCTGGCTACATTCAAAATGTATCATTTTCATCATAGTATAAATTCTGGTCTTAAGCTATGAACATTAAATTGAATTTAAACATATTTGGGAGAAGCACATGTCCATCATCTGACAAAAATTAAAAATAATAAAATTAAATAAAACATTAAAATAAGTAAAAAAATAAATACATTAAAAAGAAAACAAAAAATAAATTCAAATGGCAGACTCATTAGACCACTAGGTCTTTTTTTGCTTCCAGTTTTTCTATCTTTCTAACATTCCTCCTTCAATTTCATAATTACACTTTCAAATGTGTTCTAGTCAAATAAAAGTTAGTATGATAAACTCATATAAAAGAACAGTATGGTACAAGTAGTCTTTGACTTATGAATGGTTGCTTAGTGACTATTCGAAGTTACAGTGGACCTCCCAAAAGCTACCTACGATACGGTGCTGAAGTTATGACTGCTGTAGCACCGCTGTGGTCATTCGCCCTTGTGACTGACTGCAGGGATGCTGCAGTGTCCCTCAGTCTATCTCCCTCCATCCTCCTGGGTCCCCCCAGGCCTTGGGCTTGCTTCCCATTACACTGGGCCCCACACCTGCTCCTCCTCTACTGAAGATCTCCAAAGCTCTGGGGTTCAGGTTAGGGAAAGCCACTCTGTTTCTGGGCTGTGTACTGCAGTCCCAGAAGAAGCGATCACCATTTTCTAAGCAGCCACATTAAATTGTGGTTGCTACCAAATCTGTGCCACGTGGCTCAGCAATGTTTCCTTAATGTGAGCTCCTCAATATTCTGCAGTGTATCATAGCATTCTGCACTGCTGCGGAATGCCGCAGAGCTTTGGTCAAGGAAGCAAAGTAAGCTGCTTTGTGGCTGGGCCACATGATGCAGTCCCAGAAACACTGAACTGTGGTTGCTTGGAAAATGGCAGCTGCTTCCAGGGTCATGCCACATGGCCCAGCAACAGAATGGCTTTGCTTACAGTCACTCAATATCTGGGAATAGGTTCCTGGGTATAGGATGAGTTGTGGTCTTTTTGTTTCCTTCTTAATTTTTTTTTATTGTTTCTTTTGAATACTATGTATATGTAAGTTTATCTCCAAGTGACTATTGATGGCTGATTTGTCTGAATAACAAGCTTCGGGGAATTATCTATCATTTTTGGATTTGGCTTGGTCTAGGATGCTCACAATTTTCCAGTTGAAATTAAGGGTATGTCCATATATTGCAAGATTAAGAAGTTTGTATTCTGCCTTTTGACTGCTAGTTGGTGTTCATAGATGTACTTTGTTAGTCTTCTGTTTGCCCTACATAGTGGCTATTACAGTCCTTATACTATATGTTGTAGAATAGATCACCCCCATCCCCAAAATAGCCTGACTTTCTTTTTATGTGACAATATTTATGATATTTGAAGAATCATTGTTTCCCCCTTAAATTATCATTTCTCAAGATTAAACATATTTGGTTCTTTTAATATATTCTCAGAGAGCTTAGTTTTCAGATCATCCGCACTGGCCTTTTCTGACACTTTGAAATCTTCTTAAAATGAAGTGCATGGAAATGGATTCAGTACTTGAGGTGGGGTCTAACCAAAGCACAACAGAACAAAACAATTACTTTCAATTATTTGGAAAAGCTTAATTTCTGTTTTTTGTACCCCATCATACTTCTGGCTTATATTCAGTTTGCAATCAAATAGTACTTCAAAATCTTGTTTTGCAAGATAATAAGCCAGATATCCTCTTTTTGTTCTAACATCTTCACTAAGTTTTTTATGTAGCTATATTGACTTCTTTTGTTTTGTATCATTTATGCTTTTAATTGGAATTGTTTACAATGATGCTTTCAGTACCTCATTCTTTAGAAAATCTCCCCCATCTCCAATCTCCTTCCTATTAGTTATCTTGCTATGTGACCCTTTTATCTTTCTCTGAATTTATTAAAATCTATTGTTATTCTTTTCAACCCAGTAAAATGTTAGAAATAAATTAAACAACTTGGAATTTGATCTGAACAGTGGCAGAACAATTCTCCAAAACCAAACCAAACCAACCAAATTTGGTGTGGAGGGAGAAACTGGAAAAAGAAAGATTCAACTGGGACCTGCAGAGAAAAAAAAATTCTACAACAAATTCTACCATATAGGTAATCATTGAGTTATGACAGCAATTGGGTTTGGAATTACTGTCGCTAAGTGATGCAGTCGTAAAACACAATGTCACATGATTGCATTGCTTAGCAATGGCGTTCCTAATAATCCCTGTTGCATTGTTAACCAAATCCCACTGGTTGTTAGGTGAGGACCTATCCTGATCCAAGCCATTCCCAGCTTGGTCTCGATGGCAGCAGCACTGAGGCTGCAGTAGAGCCTTGGGGCCTTCAACGGCCTCAGCCAGCTGCCATTGTCCCCAGACCTCTATTTTAGCTGCAGTGCCACTCCAATGCCACTCAGGGTTGTCTCAAGCCCTGCACCATGGTCAGCCATCTTAGTGCCAGCTGCCTCTATCACTCTATGCTCTACAGGTTCTGCCACACGTAGCTGACCTTCACCATGTTACTCCTGCTGCTCAATCTTCAACCCCAGCACTGCCACCAAAGAATGACACCGTGCAGGGCAGCCACAACAGCTAAGATGGGCAAGAGATAGGTGAGTGGGGGAATTTAAGCACCTTATGGTCATAAGTGTTGGCAGGCTGCCGAGCACTTGACTTTTGACCACATGATTGCCGAGGTGCTGCAACTGCTGCAACTGGGGTCCAGGGGTAAGTACCATCGTTCAGCACCACTGTAACTTTGAGAGGTCGTTGAATAAATAGTTGTTAAGCAAGGACTACCTGTTATGTTAGAGAGGCAATTAGGCAGAGGCTCAGATTGTTGCTGATTGTTTTATTTTAAGGCCTTCCTCCTTCTCTGTCATGTGACCTAGAGCACAACTACTTTGGAAATAATTCCAGAAGTCATCCTCTGCATGCTTTCTCTAGCTTGTTTTAAGTCCAAGTTATATGCTTGCTTCAATTTCAATCTTCCTTAAAATCAAGAATAACATAGTCTTTTTTTCCTCTGTTCCACTTTCTCAATTAAATCTTGTCTATTGATTAATATCTAGTCAGGAATAGTATTTGCCTCCATTTTCTGAAGCAGAAAGTTATCTGCCAGGCAAGACAGAATGTTCTGGAATATTATGCTTGGCACAGTTTGTTTCCCAACAAATGTCAGGTTGGGAATTACTGCTTTGTAAACTCTGCAGTTTGCTTTTAGAATGCATTATCTACATATTTTCTTTGTTTGTAAGAGTGAAAGCAGCCATCACCAGCAATATTACTTTTACAGGTAGTCCTTAAACTTATGACCACAACTGAGACGGGGATTGCTGTCATGAGTGCAGCCATAACCCACTGCTTGGTGCATTTTTTTCTTCTTTGCTATGTGAAGCTGGCCCCTTTCAGCCCAGCACCGTGACACATAAAGTGACATTCTTGTGTGTGCAGTCCCTTTAAGATGCTTTGTGCATTGCTTTTGTGCTCGAAGTCAGTGCCAGCAATCTAGCCAGGCTGGCCTCAACAGCACCAGGAAAAAGATGGCAATGAAGGTTTGCTAGGGTGGCAGAGTGCAAGACAACAGGGGGGCCAAAAGGGCATAGATGGGCAAGATAGGTGGACGGGGGAATGGAAGCAGAATGGAATAGGTTTGATATACCTGTATCCTTTCAGATTTCACAACTAGCATTGCCCTATAGTATGGCCCCTTTGGATGTGTCTTCTGATGGGGAAGAAGAGGAACCGTTTAGCTTGCTATCCTGTTGGGTGGCAACCAATAATGCCAGCACAGAATATATTTTAAATGGAAGCTCTTTTGAGAATAGAATAAAGCAATGAGACCTAAGATGCTACACACGTAATTTTTCTAAACAAAACATCACTTCTCTTTTCACTGTTTTTTACTCAGTTTAGTCCCACGTAGAAACTCATTCTTATTTATTCTGGTAAAAATGAGGTCATTATCAGCAATTCCATTAACTTGGATAAAACAATACAACAAGCTATAATTTTGTTGACAAGTGAACAAAATATATACCCCTCAACTTTAGTTCTTGGCAGTCCACATTTTTCTTCTCTTAAAAACAATTTAAACATATCTTCCTACGTGGGCTGTATTCTTCTCTTCTACTCATTAAACTGACCCTCTGGAGCTCACATTACTTTTTTCTCTTACTATCTATTTTCCTTTTGTGAATTTCACATGTATGTAAGCTATGAAATATAATGTTACTACTGAATTCTACTTCATTTGGCATTATTTTAATCTTGGCTAGGTATGTCAACAAAAGATCACTTCAAACCATCCATTAAAAAATTGCAAGTTTGTTTTCCAACATTCTGAAATAAAGCATTACAATGATTCAAATATTATGTCTACTGAGTACTGATTATACAAACTGAATGTATAATCACATTAATGTTGTCTTTTTTATTTTATCATATGACGATTTACAATATTTTTTGCTGGAATACTATTTACTTGCAGTTTACAAAAAAAAAAAAACCTGGACAATGTAGTTTTTTTGCACTGGGTTGCAGTTGCAGACAATGGGTTCGCTTAATGACTGTTATGTTCGCTTAATGACTATGGCATTCACTTAATGACCACTGCAAAAAGATCATAAAATCAGTCACAGTCACATGCTCACTCACTTAACAACTGGCATGACTTAAGGCCATAATTCCAGTCTCAATTACAGTCGTAAGTCAAGGACTACTTGTAGGCAACACCAATCCAAAACTGTCCAAGGGTCAAATTTTATTTATGTATGTTCAAGACCGACATGGGTTTGTATGGAATTTGATCATAATGATGGATTTATATTTTGTAATTATAAAGAAAGAATAAGATACCTATTTTTAGAAAACAACATTAAATAATGCAACTGATACTCTTAAGCATATTCATGAATTGTAAGTAATTAAAATGTTTAACTTACCATTGTCTAGAGTCTAAATTTTTCAGCTCTCTCAACAATTTAGAATTTTTCTTCAAAATATTAAAACTTTTTCTAAAATAGAATACAATTATGGTAGAATATCTCATAATACATAACTGGTATATTTTGTAACTAACAAACTGGTGCATTTAGATACTACCCTGAAGCTCTTTCTGACTGGTTTTGGTTCCCAATAATCCCTCCCTCCAAACCTATTAACTTGTGTTTAATACCAGGATTAAACTTGTGTCTATTATCAGGATCTAGAGACCATTTATGTCATAGTCTTCTATAACTGTTTATGCAGCTTAGTCAGAATGGAAATGTGTTATTACTTGATTTTTCTCTAAACATGTTATCTAGTATGTAAATTTTCTATTTTCAAATTATATTTTCTATTTTACCTATAAAATTTCAATTAGGGAAATTCATTAAAATTGAAATATTTCCTGCCAAAATAGTGTGGGTATGTATTTATGGGTACACACACACACACAGGCACACAAATTTATCTGAAAGGAAAAATGAGCAAATTTCAGTTAGGTGATATCTGGAAAATGATACAAATAATTAAGAAAATTGTGACACTTAAAGAATAACATACATCTTATGGTATAAACTCTTAGATCAGAAATTCTTGGGCTGTTACTGTTGTTTTGCTGCAGAAGGCTAAAGTGGCAGTGCCTATGCCTCTGAAACTGAGAATGAAAACATAGGAGTTACGTTTAAAGATTTATTATGGCTAGTGGTGACCTAGTTCAAATGTGACAATTTAACTTTGGGGGTATTCTGGTTCTTACAGGAGCTAGAAATCAGAATAATCATTTTTGAATAAATACCTTTTTATACTGTACTGGAGTAGGGAAATTTTTACCGTTGAAGAATAAGTTGGAAAATTATTGTTTCCCACCCACCCCAATGTATTACTCATAAATACTGAATGCTGAAGCCAAATGACAACTATAGTTCATATCAGAATTTTAATTAGTAAATAGCAACTTAAGCATGGCCCATTAGTTTGCCTTTAATAACAATTTAATCCATTTAGGTTGAACTGCTATGCCAAACTAAATTCAGGAGAGGCATTGATATTATATTTAGAAGCCCCTACTATCACCCTTTAACCAGATGGATAGAAGTAGCAATCTCACTTGAATTATACCAATTATTGCAATTTGTTTCCCACTTTTGCAAACCTTGCTCAGATCTGTGCCGTCCTTTCTTAAGGAGGCCAAGAAAATATTAAATTGGAGGGGAAGAATGATTTTACTATTAATTTTTATTCTTAAATTACCCAGGAGGCATTTTCCACCTTGTGACAGCATTCCTTTTAGTGTTAAATAGTCCAATCTTTAAAACCTCCTCAGAGGGAGGAGCTATCTGTTTCCCAAAGCAGACTGAGAGAGCAAGATTGGCCCTCAGCCTCAAGAACATACGTTTTTCTATTTGTAATTTACTGCAGTGAAATGCAGAGTCGGGATTCATACAGTTAAACTATGAAATTCACTGTCCAAAGTTGTGGTAATGCTAGCAAAATAGGGGGAGACATCATTCTAAGGTGGAAAATGTTTCCTGCACAACTTCAAGAAAATAAACAGGTGACCAGGACCCAAAGAAAGAAAAAGAAAACAACAGCAACAATGAATAATAAAAAAGTAGTAGTACACAGATCTCTGAAAAACTCCACAAACCTAGTTGTTGATACTAGCTGACAAATTATGTTGGGCTGAATTGCAAAAGGGGAATAGATTTTTCTTTATTCTTTTACAGGGAGTAGAAGATCCCTGATTGGAATTCTGGAAAGGGACCAACTATGTCCATTTCCCTCTTTTCCTCAATAAAAAGAGCTCCATATGCCCTCACCTGCAAGTGATGGGAGAGCAGTCCTACTACTTCTTTCATAATAGATAACTGAGTGCCTGACCATTTGGAGGCAGCTTTTTTAAAAAAATAAATAAATAAACCATTTCCCTCCATTGACTGTACAAACTGAGTTGGAAGAGGAGGCTGATTTGGTCCTTTCCTAAGTTAAAAAAAGGCTTAGCTTTCCTCCTTTCTAAGGAAGAATAAGAAACCTTCAGGAAACTAAACATTGGGCTATCTTAAAAGAGAAAGAGAATGTAAATAACAAGGGTAAAATGACCTCCTCCTCCTCCTTGGATGCTACTTAGAAGTTGGCCCTTAACTCAGTAAAAATGGCTCTCCCCCATTTGGTGAGAAAAAGCAAATAGTCCATCACTATTGGGAAAGGCACTAATGTTCTTTCCCGCCCCCCGCCCCCCTCAAAATTCTTAGAATACTGTGAATGCTTACCTTTTTTCCCAAGAATTCATTCCTAAGCCATTTAGCAAAAGTCTACATAAATGAAATTGTGACTGTAGCAGAGCAGGTCCTGGCATCTTCTGATTTTCGCTTTTTGTATTATGATTCAGATAATATCCATGAGCATATTCATTTTCTATGCAACTCTGCTGCAGTATTACTTCAATGATATCACTAGTTTGGGCATGACTCATGCCAAATGGAGATGGGGATGGCTCATTTAATTTTACTTGTGGATATAAAAGGCACTCAGGACTAGTACTGCCAATCTTTTCTAGCAACCTATCAAGAGCATCTTCTCCATCATCTATCTGAATGAAATCAGTTGGAGACTCAAAGTTCTGCTTATTCTTTTCCATAATCACAGAGAATTTTCTGTTCTTCTGATCTACTGAATATGCAGCTATTGGCCCATACATCAATTGTCCGTCCCATGAATGCTTTCCAGAGATATCCCTAACAATTACTCTTACTTCTGAGAAAGATTCGTCCAATTCATCATCCAGCCCCCTTTTTGAAGGAATCTGGAGGTAAGAAATGACAGCATTTTCATTAAATTCAAAGATCTGTAAATTGGGGCTTCGGAAGACTTCAGGTGAGAGTTCAGAAGATTCCATACAAGAATTGTTGTGATTTTCAGTAATAAGACTATGTAGAACAGCAGGACCTTCAGTCAGAGGATAATGGCCCAAATTGTTAACTAGATGTGCCATAATCATTCGTGCTGTCAATGGTATTAACTCCAAGCTCCTCCGCTTCATTTCTGAAAATAGTTAATCATAACAATGATTAAAAAATAAATAAAACAGCCTACACACACACACATACACCCCTTTCCCAATTTTGCAACTTAGGACAAGGTACATTTTCAATTTTTATAAGCTTCTAAAATGAGAAAGGTACAAGCTATACAGTCTGACAAGAAATTAACTAATAATATAATTTTAAGAACAGTATCTAAAGATATTCTAATTGTGGATTTGAAACTAGAGATAGGTTTGCTCCAAGTATAAAGGTACTTGGAGGTGAAGGTACCATATTATTTAACCATAAATTAAGACTGAACAAATATTAGAAGACAGTTTTTCATAAATCTACATAAGAGAGCAAAAGATCAGGAGCAGATTATTATTTCAAATTATTTCAAATAATCTGCAATAACTGTTTAATTTGCTCCTATCTATAATGCTGTGACATTTTGGCAACAATATGCAAGTTATGTGGTCCAGATTGAAGTCTACTTTCCAGGCCTGGCCCAGCACAGAAGATGTCAGTGGCAGGTGCACATGCGAGTACAGCTCCATTTATGTGAGCCCTGTGCTCGTGCGAATGCAGCTTTGCATGCAAGTAGAGGGTGCTTGCGATCATGCACAAGCAGAGGGTACTTGTGCTCGTGCGCAAAGCTTCAATTGTGTGAGAAGCAGATACTTACACTCAAACACAAAGCTCCATTCACACGAGCGGAGGGCACTTGCACTCGTGCGCAAAGCTCCATTTGCCCTCCGCTAGCGTGAGTGGAGCTTCATGCACATGTGCTTGCCCATCTCTCCGGCAGCCCAGTTTTGAACAGGCTATGGACCGGTAATGAGTCGTAGCCTGGGGGGTTGAGGACCCCTGGTCTACTGCATCATCCCATTGGACAGTTACCCTACTGCCTCCCATCTTTCTGTTCCAAGTAAGAGACAGCCAAATGCTTTCCTTCCTGTAGGCAAAGCTGAATGCACATGAACATTTTTAAAAAATTGTTTAAATTTATTTAAAGATACATGAACAGTAAAAACAGTAAAAAAAACCCAATAAAAATATGAGGGAAAAGAGAATATATTTAAATTTTTCAAAATACAAAATATTGGTTTTTTTTCTTTTAATATTCTCTAAAATCGTTACATAAGAAAAAAGAATGGAGATGGGGCCAATCAAATGGTAAATTTGATTATATTGCTGCTGCCATGGGGGTGAGTGGGTAGTTGTTTATGTTTAGTTTGTGATTCTTAATGTTGTGAGCCACTTGGAGTCACCTACAGTATGCTTGAGTTGGGGAAAGAAAGAAAAGGAAGGAAGGAAGGAAGGAAGGAAGGAAGGAAGGAAGGAAGGAAGGAAGGAAGGAAAGAAAGAAAGAAAGAAAGAAAGAAAGAAAGAAAGAAAGAAAGAAAGAAAGAAAGAAAGAAAGAAAGAAAGAATCCACTGTTGGTCTTACAAGTCACTGGGATACATATAAAGATAATCATAGAACTGTTTGGCACTTTAAGAAGTAATACCAGTAGTAGAAGCAGATCAGAATTTGACAAAAACAGCCAAAGTTATAAGAATAAATAGTTGAAATAACAAAAAATTGAAGAACTCCATCCTTAGCTTTATGGTCTGTCAGAAAAAAAAATAATGTTCTAAAAACTTATGCTGGATCTGGCACTAGGCTATGTGCAAAATTATAGATTAGGATTCCATATTAAATTTGGTATCAGACTTACTTTTAAGATATAAAGTTATACCTGATGTTGATGCATAAAACTTAATCTGCCAATCTTCTAATGTCAGGATTGAATGTAATTTTCAATGAAAAGCATAAAGTATCCTAGCAGTATCTATCCTCTATAACAGGGCTTTTCAACCTTTTCACCCATGGTACCACTTTTAGGATATGGCAACATCCAAGTACCACCAGTCGCCTAGCAAGGTGTCAAAAACTTGATGACAAAAGAAAAAAAAAAGGAAAAAAGTGATAAAGTACAGGTAGTCCTCGACTTACAACAGTTCACTTAGTGACTGTTCAAAGTTACAATGGCACTGAAAAAAGTGCCCCCAAAGCCACAGCCGAGCAAGACACCTGCCTGCGCACCTGGCGGCGCTCTTCCTCCTGTCCGAGGTTTCCATTGTTGTGAGCATTTTTGTTGAGGATTGGCAGCAGGGGTGGGGTGATGGGGTGTTTGGTTTTTATTCCCCCCGTCTGCTGGGTGGTTGCAGCAGGTTTTGGTCACTTCACATGACCCTGGGACACTGTGACCGTCATAAATATGAATCAGTTGCCAAGCATCTGAATGTAAATCACAAGACCCTGGAGATGCTGCAACATTCCAGCTGATTGGCACTTCTTTTGGGCTCAGCAGAAGCGCCAGGATCAGCGCCGAGCTCCAGCTGGAGCCTGGCGCTGATCCTGGGGCTTCCACTGAGCCCTGACAGCCCCGAAGAAGCACTGAGCCCTGACAGCCCTGCAGCTCCAGCCATCTCTCGCTCAGGCTTGTGCGGTGCTGCCACCGGTTCAGCTCATTCCCCTCCCCCGCTACCACTTTTCTAGGATGGTCGCGTACCACCTGCCAGGTGCCAATGTACCACAGGTGGTACCCATACCACTGGTTGAAAAGCCCTGCTCTATAAAACCAAGTTTCCATACTCTCTAGGAATCTAAGGTTTGATTTATACTTAAGAAGAAGAATTGGCAATAAACCACAAGTAAGTATTTACAATTTGTTTAAACTTATGATGAACTATTTTCTAAAGCTGTTGAGCTTTATACATTGCCACCAGATAGGAAATAATGATCAAACCTGATTCTTATATTTCCAACAGTCTTTTGAATATATATTATACACTTTGGCGATCAACACTGGATAATATACCAACTAATGAATTCTCACACCAGTTTTTCCTAACTATAATATTGTACTGTAAATTTAGTATCTACCTTCCACCAATATTCCCTTTATTGCATACCAATTGTCCTGTTTAAATTCTGCACCCCTATAATCATGTAGTCTTTGACTTTTGTGAATCACTTTTCAATAAACATTTATATAGAAGCATTCCAAATTCAGATAATTCCTTAATATGTCATCCTATATATCCCTTTTCCTATAAGCAGTATATGTACATGTGTATAAGGGGCATATACTCAAACATGCAAACATGTAAATATAAAAAGTTATATACCCAAATGCATCAAAATGCATAATTGCTTTTAAAATAAAAAAACTCCTGTTTTGTGAACCATTTGCTCTGTAATAATTTTCCCTTTAAAATCAGAAATAAAATAGCACAGAGGCTTCACATAGTAAGAGCTTATTAATTCAGGTAGAAATGTTATTCTATCAACTATTCATCTCTCCCTGCTGCTTCTTTAACTGCAGGCTCTCTACATTGATTAGTAAGCAAACAGTTAAGATACCGGTTATCAATTGCTTACTTTAAAAGTTGAGTAGGAAAAAAAATGCACCAATTTCAGCTGCATTTGTGGGAAGGGAAAGTTGACAGATCTGATTATTTTAAAAAAGAAATACATTGACACAAAGGAACATTAAAAAGAAATGAACTTTATGAGGTGGCAAAAAATTTATATGTACTTTATATTTATAAGGAAAAATATATATGAACTGTACTGTGAATTGTCAAAGTAATGGCATCTTTTATACATGATCATTAAGTTTATCTATTAAAATACTGAATGTATTTTATTTGTATAAGAATAATAACCAAATTACTTCAGTTATTTGTTTCAGATAACAGTTTTAATTTCATTGATGAAGTCTGGTTACAAAGAAAGAAATCTTCAAATTTACAGAGATGTGAGAAGCCCGTTATTTCCAATTTTTTCTTTTTATGCAGATATTATTATCATCAAAAATAGTTGAAAATCACTGCATAAGCTAGAAATTAGTTAGCAGTGCAGCAGTTGTGTATAGGATGATACATGTGTCTTCCCAGTATAAATAAATAAAATAAATAAAAGTGAAGCACACACACATAGACACACTTATTACTTAAATCTCACAAGATTGACAAACCTCATGGTGCTCTCATCTTAAGCCTTAATTACTTATTCATACATTTTTTCTATTATACTTTCTTCTCTGGGAGCTCAAGATGGTATGCATGGCCATCTCCTCCCCCCTCAGATTATCCCCAATTAGGTTGGGCTGAGAGTGAGTGACTTGGCAAAGGTCACTTAATGAGCTCTACAGTGAGGGAGGGATTTAAGCTTGATCTAAACCAATACACCACACTGGCCTTCTGTACAAAGAATGCCAAAACCTAGTGAGATTTGATGATCCTATAATATTTTGATTATTTTAAACAGACCTTTGACACCATACTAAGAACCATCTGCAGTTTTCTAGTAAAGTACAAATGTCCCTGGAGGAAAGACTGAATGTCACTATGAAATATTATTCTTGAGTTTTCTTCTTGGTTATTATAAAAAAACCTTGAAGTTCAGCACAAACACAAGTAAAATTACTGGGTCCTAGATTATTACTGGAGAAGCCCTCTATAAAATTTTCTTGCCAAATGCTATAATGTAAGAATGCTTAGATTTCCCTTGTTTGCATACGTCGGTACAGGATTTTATTCTAAGTATAAAAACTGTTCCAAAAGTAATATTTATTGAAAAGGAAGCTTCCCCCTTGCCTTGTTGTAGCTCTTTGAAAAAGTACTGCATGAACTCTCCGGCCCTCAAGGAAGATTTGAAATGTGAAAAAGAAATTGTAGTTGACAGAAGAGAAAGAAGTCAAGTGGAAGCAACTTGCATCAGTGCATGCTCCAACATGCTGCCAAAGATTTATCATATCTTAAACATAATGCTTACATTTATTAGGGTTCAGTTCTTGTAAAACATGTATTTTTCTTTTCCATGAAAAGTAAAAGGTGCTGTTCCCTTTCAAATTATTTATCTCAAAGGAGCTTTTTCATGAGGCAACTGGACTTTCTTGTTTTTCTTTGAAGACATTTCACTTCTTAGCCAAGAAGCGTCTTTGGGATAAATAATTTGAAAGTCAAGTTGCCTCATGAAAAAGCACCTTTGGGATAACTATGACCTGGATGACTGAGAATCTCCACAGACATCTTTCAAATTATTTGTTACCTTCAGCAACAGTGAGCAAATTATTCAGGTCTGCAGAAGACTGAACCGGAATCACTTCAGAATTCCTAACATTTCCTAGGGGCATAAAGGGATCATAGAACTCACTGGAGAGGTCGGCAAGACTTAAAAGATAATGGCTTTGCTGTGTGTACAGGTTTGAACCATAAACACAACAGTTCAGGATCTGCAATAAAACAAATATATATATATATATAATGAAATACCACAAAGTTATTCAAGAGAAAGCACTTTAGGGATGTTAAATCACTCTAACTTGAGCTTCTAAGTGTTATGAATACTACTAAATTAAACATGAAATTAAAAATATCTGAGTAATTCCTAAAACAATATTTTTTAAAATGGAAGATATAGATATAAGGAAATAGCCACTATCTCAAATAGGGTACTGAAATGATACTGAAAACCTGTTCTATTTCACATTTAATGTACACTAAGAATATAGAAAATAAATGGGGCAATGATACATTTGAAAATGTATCTAATACAACAGCAATAAAAAAAGAATTAATAGTGTCCATAGCACATGTGTTAATGACAAAACTGGTGTAAGAGTATGGGCAGAATCTCAGAGAGCTGTACACAAAGTCTGCTGTAGTTCATCAAAACTATGACTTTTTTGTAATTTTGTTTTGATTCAGTATGCTGCTATTCTTATTCATAGGTATTAGGAAGTGAAATATTTAGGTATGATCATTCATACTTACCCTATAAATATAATCAAGCAATGGAGTATTAGAAGAATAATGATTTTCAAAACTGGAAGTAAATACAGGCTCCAACAATATCTTCACTGGCAATGTCATGCACCAATCCAATAAACAAAGTAACAATGAAACTATAAACTAAAACAGAAAAATGTCCCAAAATTAGTTCCACTTAGAAAGTTGGAAAACCTGATCTAACAAAATGAAATTTACCAGGTAATATATGATGTCTAATATGAACTGAAAAATCTATGAACAAATACCACTCATCAGCAGTAAAGTTGTTCCTGGTCATCTATTTGAACTCTAAAGCTGAAATTTGCTCTCTTCCCACAAAACAGCAATTATCAATCAAACAAGCCAAATTGCCTAATTTAAACATTAGCTCTTCATGTTAACTATGCAATATTGAGACAAAATGAAAGCATCTAATCATTACACACCTTTTTATCACTTTCCACAGAAGAGTATTCTGCACTTGGTAGGAGAAATGCAATAGTGGCAACAAGGATCTGTGACAAAGCAATTTTAAAATAAATTTACAGAAATATTTGGTTCCCCAATCAATCAAAGCATGGGACAGCTCAAAAATATCAATAGTATATGAATAATTACTTTGTAATTATTTACCCATTACCTTTTTCTTCAACTCTATTGCCTAAAACGATTAGCAAAGTTTCTAAGAGAAAAAGAAAATTTTGTAGCAATGCAATTTTCTTTTCCTTCAGAGATTTGCAGTCAGCTAAATCTCTTGAACTTGTAAACATGAATTTAAGCAATCAGCAGCTTAATGCCCTAGAACATCCTACAGAAGCTTTTTATCCATGTTGCAATAGCTGACACTATGTTTATAACGAATAATGATTGTGTGAATGGACATATGAGTAGCTAAAATAGAAACGGCAGCCCTAAAGATAGCAGAGGCTCTCCGTGGCTAATGAAATGAGTAAAGATTCCCCTGACACTTAAATTCTGATGCCTTGATATACTTGGAATGTTTGCAAATGGTGGACTTACATAAATTTTGTCCAACATTTTCCTATTAATAAAAGCAGGCAAAGATTTATAAAATCTGAAGAGAATCCAGAGTATGAAATAGGTCCCCCAACATGATCAATATCCAACATACCAGCACTGGTCCTTAGAATGAACTAAATTCACTGTCCCCCAGAAGGAAGGAGGCAAAATTTCCTTGGTATGACAAAAAAACCAAATTAACTTGTGGCAGAAAAGAAGGATTTGGGTGCAATTTCATTGTCATGAAAAAGCACAATTGACAACCCTCAGACAGAAATGCAACTTCAAAAATCTATAAGTAGATGCGACTTGCACTAAGTGAGAATGAACTGTTTCTAGAAATGACTAAAGGCTACAAAGGGCTAGCAGTATCAACCATAAAAATCTAGCTAAAGTTCCAAATAGAGAACTAATTAATGAAATAATCCTTTACATTTTAAACATTGATATAAAAGGAAACTGAAAAAAACTCCATTGCAACTTCTGAAATAGGTACATTTAAAAAACGGAACCAGCAAAATATTGGTTCCTGCATATATTTTGTGGGTTATTAGAAAGAGAATAAACCTAATTAGCTTATATGTTTTGTAGTAAATTGCAGCCAGATGGCTTTGGCAGCAAAGGGAGAGAGGACTCAAATACACCACTACAGAATTACTAGCGCTATATCTGTTGAGAGGGACATAGAACATGAAGTGGTTTGTGTTTTCTAAAAACATTTTATAATTATTTTAAACAGCTATTGAAGTGCACAGTATCTCCATTAGCACAGGAGGATTAAAATGTGTCTGCTCCAAATAAGGCATTATGTCTCACTTAAAAAACAACCATTAAAAACAAATACCAATTTCCATATATAACTATTTTGGAAACAAAACATACTTCAATAATTTTTTGGGGTAGAGAAATGTTGTATTTCTGTAGTTTTTCCCAGTAAGATGTCAATAACTGAAAGATATCACAGGCTGCTTGTGCAATCTGCTTGTTAGAAAACTGCAAAAATGAAAAACAAATGAATAAGAAATAAAGGACCAACACCATCACAAGTGGATTGTTGTATTTCCAAAAATTTCTTTCTCACTCTCTATTACATAAATTCTCAAAAGTGAGATCTACCCATCTTCTATGTACACACACATTGGAAGTAACATTAAATTGGCCTCTGTGCATTATGTGACTATATCCAAATGTAAATGATGCTACAATCTCAACCAACCATGATTTAGGCCAGCAGATGGCTTTTCCCATTTGACTCTGTAAATTACTTAGAGAGCTGTAAAGCCCTATGAAGCAGTATGTAAGTGCTATTGCTAAATACTATCTCCCTTAGAATACCGTAACATCCCTTAAGAGGGGATGGGGTTAACAATTCTCAAAACAATTGTTTTCAGGTCTATGCATCCCTCCTAACAGAATATTATGCTAAACGTATTTGCTATGAAAAAGCAATATCAGTCATAGAGGGTAAGAAAGTTTTTTGCTTTGTTTTTAATTTTAATTTCAAACATGAAAAACTGAAATCAGGTTATTAAATACAATTACATAATTCTTTTGGCTATACTGTAATTCAGCAAGTAATGACTATATATAAGATCCAGGCACATCATGCCAATGCAGTCCTTCATATGTTTTATGAAACGGGCCCTCTACAAAAGCTTGAATTATAACAGCTTTGTTTAGACATTAGAAGACTTGTTGCTCTAAAAGCTTACTCCTACTAAAAAAATTGTAAATATATAATTCACTGTCTCTAATACATGACAAATGTTTCTGATATTTTCAAAAACATAATAGACCAAATAAATGAACCTTCTGAATAACTTAACAAAGTATTCTAAGTGAATACTTTTGTTTGTGATCAGCCCACACAGTTGAATGCACTTAAAATCATTTGTACCTTTAGTGTCACACCAAAAACATTTATTGCATCTTTTACTTGAGGATGGTTGGTACAGTGCACAAGTTCTTCACATATCCAAAGCCCAAGACAGCAAAGGGATAAATACCTTAAAAAAGAAAGTTTACTTTGATAAGTCACAAAGTCTTCTATATTTCTTATATTAGTAGGGTCTGTAATTGAATTATGAAAAATCACCATGCATAAAGTTCAGACTGTCACTATTTTAGGATAATTATTTTTTTATTTTAGTGCTAAATGTAAACCCTAACATTTCTGCCATAAAAAGCAATGTTTGGTCTTTTGCCTAAGCTATATTCATTTTTTACATTTATAGTCTAGCTTTACAATATGAAGGGTCTTATTCTACATGTAAGGGCAATGAAATTACAATTATTTGTCCTCTTCTGTGGACCACTGGCTGTACTTGTCTGTAATTTATTTTGAGCTGAAATAATTTTTATCTTGGACAGGTAGACATGTCTTTTTTCACTAATATATGTTCTTTAATTATATTCTGTAATATTTTATGTTTCATTCAGGATTTTACCTTGAAGCTTCACTTGGTTCCTCTTTGGCATTCTTTAAAAGAGTATTTATGAGGCAAAACTAGAAGAAGAAAAATTACAAGAATAAAAAGTTTCTTCTGACAGACGTATTGTAGATTTTTGCTTATTTTTCAATAAAATTAAATAACAAAAACTTAGAGAAGACAAAATAAATAAAGTTAATTAACTCTTTGGGCATTTCGTAAATCAACAAATGAACAACAGTATTCCACATGAATTTGGAAAAATGCTACTTAACAAATATTGGCAAAATGGAAAATATAGGTCTATTTAAAACACATTAACATTTGTTTTTGTGGCGAGATGGCAACATTGACCCTCAAATAGCACATCTGAGCTCACTGAGACTATCCTTTCTCTGCAAAGATGTAAACTCTTCTGGAAGATACTAACTGCTTAATTATTTAAAAGTATTTTTTTTAAAATTCAGGGATACACAAGTGTTATCCATAAGAAATTCATTATACCTGTTATAAATGACAATACAATTTTTTTAAAATACCATTTCCCTAAACAATGAGGAAAAAGTAGAACTTCCAGGTAGATACTATCAAATAAATACATTGTACAGCTCTTTTAAAGTTCTTCCACTTTTCTGAGCCAATGGATAAACTTAAATTTTTGAGATGATGGTTTAAGTAATTTCACACAAGAGCTGCCATAGGAAAATAGCATACACCAGCAGGCAAACAAGGCATCAGTGTATATACATTCATCATCTTATTTTCTAAGATAAAATTCAGCAGTACTGTTCGCAATAAAGTTATGCTGGAAGGACTACTTTGAATGCTGTGTAAAACATTTAAAGGAACATGTGGAAATATTAATGAAACATCTCTGTTATATTATTAAACTTGTCTGTATCATGAAAAACTATCCCCTCCGAAACAAAAAGGCTGTGCAGAGGCAAGACGACGTGTGGATGAGGCAGAGCAACTACTTGATTAAAGCTTTGGAAGTACTCTTTGAGCATATCTATACTCACACTAGTTTAACGTTAACCTGATTTAAGAAAATCTTGTTTGGACTGTGACACTATGGCAATAATGTGTAAGATATTTAGTCTGAACCATAGGCTTCCATATCCTTCCTTATGGCTGTTCCACTGTTGCTGTGCTCTCCCATCTTTCTGGTTCAGGAAAGCAACAGCCAATTGATTTCCTCTTTATGTACAGGTCTTTCTACACACATATTGATTGTCTATGTGAAGACAGAAAATGGGACTGTATATGTACTGCTGAAGTGAGTACAAACACACATATACATATATCCATCCATCCATCCATCCATCCATCCATCCATCCATCCATCCATCCATCCATCCATCCATCCACAAAGTTAAATTAAATTTAAAGTTAAAGCATCAAAACTTATGTACATGCTGGCACAACAAGCAGTTTTTAAAAATGTTTTTCTGATTCCCCAGTTTCTTTCTATTGTCATTTAAACCACCTTTCCATATATACTAGAAACTCAATCATTATAACCACAAACAAAATGCTGCTGTTTTTTGTCAGAATCTGGCAGAAATGCTTTTAATTACTTGCTCTTTCCTTGAGTTCTTATTTGTCTATTTTTACCCATACACACCCTCCAGTGGTGCACTGTTTCACTATTTTTCCAGTCATCCAACGTTAGAAGGGTTTCATCTTCACGTGCCAAATAGCCCAAATAACTTGTATGACAGAAAGAAACTAAGCTAAAAAATGCAAACATTTCTGCGGAATTTTGAACCAACAATCTTCTATTTGCAAGACAAAAGTTATAACCACTGTATTGCTATTGAACTTATAGTAAAAATTAACTTTAAACCACATTAAATAGGATTGTAAGCTGTGACACTGGACTTGTTGGGTGAGCCTACAACAAACTGAATCAAAGGGGCAGGAGATGGGGACATAACACGAGAGCCAGTTTGATGTAGTGATGAAGGTGCTGGCTTAGGCAGCGGGAGACTATGAGTTTTAGGTCTTTCATGCCCTTGGGCATGAAAACTGACGTGACTTTGGGCCATTTACTGTCTCAGCCCAACTCACCTCACAGAGTTGTTATGGGGAAAATAGGAAGCAGGAGTATTATGTTTATTCATTGCCTTGAGCTGACTGCGCATGCACGCACATGCATGCACACAGACAGACATATCAAATAATAAGATGGAAAAGTGTACTCCAGAAATAGAGCAGTAAAACATTTCCCTGAAATGTTTTAAGTGGAGAATTAACTGAAATCAGTGGCATCAATTTCTCCCTTTCAGGAACTATAGCCAGCTTATTCTGATAGTGAGGATAAGCATTTTGTTTCAGTTGCTGACTTTTCCCCAAATTTAATCACTCTCCTCCAAAAACAGCTAGATGAGGCCAACTATTTTTCCTTTAGATGAAAGGACCTGGGATAGGAAAAATCAATTTCTGAATCCTATTGCGTAAAGAATGAGCAGTAAGTCTTAAAATACAATACTGCTGCATCATCAACTTGCAATGTTGAAATATTCACGCTTCTGTTTAACAAAAAGAGTTATCAATCCTGTGTTAAAACATTTTACTGTTCCCATTTCCATGTACAGAAGGTTAAAATCTTCATTTGGCCTGATAACAGTTCTTTTGGAAGATAAAACTGGGTTTAGAATTTCTTCAGAAAACCCGAAATTGATCTGTGACTTTGGATTGAGAACTCCAGAAAAAAAGAGAACTACAGCCTCTTGGTGAATTGATATAATGAACAAAGCCTATCCCTAAAACTTCTGAATCAATCTGAAATGGCAGGAAAACAGTAAGTAAGTCTGGAAGAAGAGGAACGAGATACATAAGAAGAGGGATGGATACATATTTTCTCCATTCTTTCTATCATGAAGGAGTCTAGCTTTTAAGGCCATTTAAACAGAGGGTAATTACTATTCCTGATGGCAGAGAATTCTATAGTTTACCTATATAATAGATTCACTTTATTTCAGTCATTAACCAGCCCAAAAGAATTGGTATTCAAATATCCAAAACTAAATTGACAATGTCAGTATAATTAAGAAAAGTACATACAGACAAAAAAATGGCTTAAAGACTATATTAAATCAAAATATACTAAAGGACTTGTTTGGCTACACATATAAAACAAGAAAAAATTAAAATTAGTATTCTGGATGATATAAACTTGGAATGGAAGTAAAAAATACAAATACTAAACAAATGCATATACACACATATAAATATATATTCATAATTAAAGCAATTAAATTATCCAAAAAGGATTTAAGAATTACAAACTTTTCTTACAGATCCCTGTCAAACCTGACAGAAATATAGTATAATACCTGATATGGCAGGAATATCCAAAGTCAGTGATTAATGCTAAGTCTGAGGTTAATGTTAAGCCTTAACTATATATTATTCTGAGAAATATTTTATTTTATTTGTCCTATAATTTCATTCAACTAGTTTCTGTGGATAAAACTAAACACTGAAGGATAAAAACACATACACACAAAACCATTTTTCTTTAACTTTTTTCCTACTATTCATGATTCAATATCTCTTTCTATATATTATCCTAGAGGTGTATTTTTTACCTTGCTTTCATTCCAAAAAAGCTTTAAATTCTTTGGTATTTCCTAATAGGGGAGCTGCTTCAATGACTTAATCATTTTGGTTCTCCTTTGCTCCATCTTTTCCATCTCTAAAATATCCTAAAATATCCTTGAAGATATGACTACTCTGGTTCTAGGTTTCTGGTCAACTGTTGATCATCTGTGCATTAAGATCTGAATCTCTTTTCTGTACCTCAGCATAAATAAATTTTAAAAAATGGTCTTTTCTGTATCATTTAAAAGTAAGAGAACAGCACAAATTAGATTTGCATAGCACCTTAACCCACAGTATATATTATAATACATGCAACACCAATTTCAGGAAGGCAGCCTGACTGCCTCTTATCATATAGATCAGCCCACAAAGGAAAAAAAAATTACTTTGACATCTGCAGTTCCTGTTGTGATTTCTGCTTCAGGAACAGATGATAGCAATGCAATGTCTTGGTAAAGGTTAGGAAAGCAAATCAGAGATCCAAGAATAGTATTTGCTTCTAAGCGAGGAGCCTATAACAAACAAATAAATGCATATGTTTATATTGCTATATTAATAAAAAATAGGGCCTGGTAATATCAAAACAGAAACCAGTGGTTAAGGTCACAGGTTAGAAACAGGGAGACTGTGAGGTCTAGTACTGCCTTAGGCATTAAAGCCAGCTGGGTGACTTTGGGCCAGTCACTCTCAGCCCAAACCACCCTCACAGAATAGTAGTAGGGAATATAGGAAGAACTTTAATACTAAAGCTTTGATGTGTTTCTTATATCAAAATGGCAACAATCTGATAATATAGCTAGAAGAGCTTCCAAAGTCCACAAAAAAAAAGAATTGGGGGCCATAAATTCCTTTCCCTTGAACATTTTCAACAGTCAATATAGCATAGAGGGAAGAACCCACAATTTCCATGTACAATTTGATTCCATTTCATTCATTCATCAATGTTTTGCTTCTCTAATGAAAATTGGTTTGTATTAAAGAAAACTTCAATAATTAACCAAATCCCTAATTACATTTTGGAATATTCAGTCTTAGATTATTGAGGACACCTGCTCAGAACACAGAGTTCCATTGCCGATTTCTGATATCACAGACAGTCCCTGACTTAGGACCACAATTGGGAGCGGATGTTCCTCCATAAATAAGTGTGAGTCATCTTGTAAACTGGATCTGATTTTATGACCTTTTTTAAAGTGGCCATTAAGTGAATCTGATTTCCCAATTGTCTTTGCTTGCGGGAAGCTAGCTAACAAGGTTGCAAAATTCAATTACATGAGCACAAGATGCTACAATCATCATAAATATAAGCTAGTTGCCAAATTGCGGTCATGTGATTGTGGGGGTTGTATGACGGATATAACTTTGAGGATGGATCATGTCATTTTTTCTAAATTGTGATAACTCTGAACCATCGTTAAATGAACAGTTGTAAGTTGTGGATTTCCTGTAGTAGGAGTCCAGCGCACACCTTTGCTATATAGCTCATGCTGTTCTGATAAGCTGTTGATTACCCAGAAAAACAATTCAGGGAACAAATATAATGTGAGGGAAGAAAAAAATTGTTACCACAAAATAACTTTCAATTGAGCAATTTCTGAATTTCTTATATGTTTGACTAAACTGCATGAGAAGCCAGATACAGAACAAAAAAGGTATTTGTTTTTCCTTTAAATGGCATTTTTTTTATCAAAATGACATAACATTTCCAGACCTTCTTCTGCAACTACAAAAGATTACACCTGCAAATGTTAGATGGACTGCATAAATTCCCCTCATTCTATTTTTGAAAATGTCTCTCTTTCTCAATGCACAAGTGATTAATTTCTGACCAGATCAGAAACTGAAATATGAACATAAAAATGAATCAATGAAAAAGAAGAAAAATATTCAGATCTCAATCAAGTGAATTTTCATTTATTTTCAATACGACTGCATTTCCTAGCATTCAAAAATTCAATTTAATATTATATAATAAAAATATCATACTTCAACAGCATGAGTTCTGGCTTGGCTATGTAACTGACAATGAGAAGTGATCAACAAGATATTAGTTCATACTGCCAATCAGAAAGATATCCTAATGAAAAATATACTCCTACCTTGAAATTTGAGATCCTTGGCAAGTTATTTGAAAAAAACAACCATAAATCATTCTCCTCCAATGCCACACTGCACTAATGAGTTAATACTAATTAAGAGTAGTGAAATCTGCACATTGTTAACCATCATACACTGAACACTAACATACTTACTTCCAACATATTTGTACTCAGAACCCTAGTTGCCGCTGTTATGAAGTCTCTTATTAGCAGTGTAAAGCCGGGTAAGCCCAAGAAGAAAAAGAATGGGGAGCAGTGTTTGATAATAGTGTTCAAAACATCCTGAAAAGGAAAAAAAATGAAATATGTGAATATGTTAAGAGTTTTTCATTTGTCCTTAAAATCAGTATCCTGCAATAGATCATAGGAGAAAGATCCTCTGGTTGATGAGGACAAATGCACTGCAAGAAACCTAGCTTTATACAACAGGCTGTTTTGTGCAGAGTGCAGGTAGGGATGGGGAGCTGAGGTTATCTTCATTCTGGAATGAAAATTTAAATTTGAGTAAATATATTTTAATATTAAGAATGATTCTTTCAGTATTTATATGTGAATTTTAAAATACACACATGCATGAGGGGCCATCGGTGCTCTCTGAGCTTAGCTGTTTTGTTGCAGATGTTTCATTACCCAAACTAGGTACCGTATTTATTGGCGTATAACACGCACAGGCGTATAACACGCACCTTCATTTTAAGGGAAATTTCAGGAAAAAAACTTAAAGGTGGGGCCGGGCGGCGGAGAGCTTGG